CTATTTTAGCCGGGCCGGCTCAGATTGAGGTCGTGCTTTTTTACAGCGCACGGCTTCCACAGATGACCATTTTTTAAATGGAATTTTTTGTCAAAGGCACCTTCAGATATTCATTGCTTTCTGGGATGTTAAAGAGCATTCCACGGGAATAGTAACAAAAAGTGTATCCTCGAGCCGGTTCCTCAAACTTTACCTTAACCCACCTTTAAGTGTAAAGAGAGATATAACCACTCCTATATCGTGGCCGTGCTGCGCCAGGTTTAATAAATCCTGGATTCTGTCCTGTCTTGACTTGATACCACCTGAGAGCTTGTTGTTTGGTCTTTGGTTTTGGAAATGAAAAACCTTCACTGTGGCAATTCAACTATCTGCGTGTTGGAAGTCAACCGCAAACTGGTTTAAAACAGCAACTTTAAGCCAAATGGCTACTCTATGGCACGCAAAGAAAGTTCCCGAAGCACACTTTTGTTACACTCGCAGGAATCCATGTTCTCAGTTCATATACTTTTCTTTTGTGTATACAAAGAGAACAAAAACCGATTTGAACATCCTTTCTAGCCTCATTCATCAAAAAGATACACAGTGGCCGTTACATCTCAGCAATTTCAGCATGATCTGAGCCTTGACAGCCCGAGTTGTAGAATACTTCAGTACATCATAGCATACCTTACAAAAAAAATTTAAAGCCTTTTTAGGTAAAAACCCTTTCCAAGCTTGATACTCTGCCAGAAAACCATTTTGACAGTGAATCACTGCAAATTTGATGAAAAAAGTTTTCCCATAACATTATCCATTACATTTTTTTAACGAAACGCCCAAACTGTACATTTCCACCATCTTCTAACAGAGGATTCTTTCTCCAGAATTGCAGTACGAGAAAAGTAAAAAGGATAAGAACAGTGTGCTTCGTTTTCAACTTGAAAACAGCAACATCATGATAAACGTCACAACATGGTCACATTACACATTCAAACAGGTTTTGGTGAGTTGCATCGGTGTTAAGTCCAACTACAGAAACACTGGTTTAGCGCAGGAAAGAGTAAAACTAAATAATCATAAGTCAGTTAAGTCTACCTCTATCCATGCACAAGGAGGGAGAAATAAATCACAACACAAAACACAAAAATAAATCAGATTTTATTTCAAATCAGTGCATTTGAGGGTTTGGGATCAAATAAAAATGTTGAAATAAACTTGCAGTGTTCTTCTTTAAGGGTTCTCAACAATCTTAGATTTAAAAATGTCATATTTACTCACATGTTTCAGTTTGAACTTTCCTTTTCAACTCTTACCTTTAGTTCATACTCGCATTAATGACGAATGAATGCAAAACGTTACCCTGGAATTATGTATTATTTATTACAGCTAACTAAATCCACAAAGCTTATTTTGTTACTTTAAGGCAGAGGTGTCAAACTCCATTTCATCCCGGGCCACATCAGCATTATGGTTGCACACAAAGGGCCGGTTGTAACTTTAAGACTATATAAAAAGACATATATAAATATTGAATATATATGAAATAACGTATTATATTACATAATTGCCTCTGCATTGGATTATTATCGGATAGGGTAATAACTTCATAATTAACTACGTCTGAAAGCAGAAGTCTAGGGCAAATAATTGCAAGTCTGTTCAGTGAGAATCTCACAATATGATTTGAAAAGAAAAGCCACATTCTAAAAAAAGAAAAGAAAAAGAAGTGACATTTTGAAAAAGAAATCTATTTATGAGAAAAAGGTTAATTCTAAGAAAAAAGGCATATTTTGACAAAAAAAGTCAAATTCTGAGAAAAAGTCAAATTTGAGATGCATTGTGGGACATGTCGTTTATGGGCAACGTGCGTCTGTAAAGTAGCATGTTACAGTATAATAAACATATTATATTCTTTGCAAGCTCTTGTGGGGCCACATAAAATGAAGTCGCGGGCCGGATTTGGCCCCCGGGCCTTGAGTTTGACACCCCTGCTTTAAGGCAACACTTTTAATCTGCCCTACAAATCTTGATTGTGATATTTGTAAAGCTTCTATTGGCTTGCTTTATAGTCGAAGTGGCTCATTCATTTAAATGAGCCGCTACAACTTTGGTGGAATTGACCGGCCCAATTCACAGCGATTCAAGCAGTTCAACTCTACAGTATATATACACACATAGTGAATAAGTCTAAATGTGGTCCTCGTCCTTCTGCAGGTTGAAAAACCACTGTGGGAGTTCAAATAAGAAACCACAGCAAGTACTTTGTGGGTCTGCGCACACACACATGCGCAAGGTTAAGGAAAAATAAAAAACAAAAGTGGGCGCAGGTTGAGGGGTTTCGGCACACACATAATGACATCACCAGCGTGCGCCGTCGGCCTGCTTTACTCACTTGTGCCCTTCGCCCTGGTGGCGGGGGAGGCGAGCGGTGGGAGGGGGGGTGTTTTCTTGGGCTTACGGAAGGAAGGCCGTTTCTCCCTGACCTCTGACCCCACAAAAGAGGCCGTCCCTTTGCTTCGGCAACGCTTCCTGGCGCGCAAGGTGTGTTCCCACACGACAGAGACTTCCCCTGTACGGTAACAGGAACGAGAACATCAACCAGCCAATCAGAGAGAAGAGGGGTCGCAAGTTGAGTCTGGCTGG